GATACTCAGCAGATCAGTCTTAGTGTGTTATCCTATTTTTTGTGTTCTCCGTGAGTTTGTTTTGTTCCAACTGTGCTTTGTTTGGCTGCACGTTTTGGATTTCTCTCAGGTTTTTCTTGTGACTTCACTATTTTTTGCACTTTACTGGTCTCTCTTGAACTTTATTCTTCCCTAGCTTTAATCCTTACCCATTTTCTGACTACTGCCCTGGACTATGTTTTGTAGAGCGTGTTTGCTCACCTCAACAACCTGCTCCTTACCTGCACTTGGATTCAGTCTACAGCCTCAGCTCACTGCACTTCAACAAATAACTGCAGCCCATTACACCAATCAGTCAAAATACATTTTTTTGGCTAAAGTTAATGAGGCCCAATCTATGGAGAGAAGTGAAAAGAGGGACATGACTAGCTCTTTATGGTTGAAAGAAGCATGAAGTCAACTTCAAATGTGATGTGCACTAGAGATGTAGAAAACTTGTGCTAACCCATCCCAACATGAATAAATAATACACAACAGAACTTAGGGTAATGCAAGATATATTGTTTGCCAACAGGTTTCAATTAATTAAAGCTTAATCAATAGACATGTAAAAATCATGCACATCAAGCAAAAATTCACAAAATAATACTGAATAAATTTTAAACAATTTATTCTTTCCAATACCCACCATTGATGTGAATCAACAAGAACTACACTTATGTATTCTACCCCATAAAAAAAAAAATCTATTTTGAATCATTAGCTTTTCTTGAAATCATTACAGTTGTAATGTCAATCCTTTTCTTTGTGGTAATAACAAGGAGGCACAGGGCAGAGGTAACATTATTGGTTTCTCTCTTAAAAGGATCACGATGAACAATACCCAGCAACTCCAGAACTTCCAAAGTTCAAGCACACAGATATACAGTGCATAGAACAAATACAACCAACTTATTACTGCAGGGTCATTACAAACTCCTCCCCCCCCTCAGTCCCTTGACATCAAGGGAAGATGAAAGTCTCAGAAGTGACCTGGCAATCTTCTTTTCTGAGCTGGGTGCTGGTGTCGGGTCTGCACAGCCCCCCTCTTTCAGGGAAGGACTCTGATGGATTGCTGGCACTCACAGAGACATTGCAGGTGGAGTTGTTGTCCCAGACACAGGAGCAGGTACAACCTCTGCTCCACCAATCCAAAGGTACAGGGCCAGCCCTTTACAGTGCACAACAATCTTGAGGCCTTGCACTGTGTAGACCACTTCTCCAGTTCCTTACAGGGGTCCACCCATTTGCCGTCAAGCTTCAAGAACCTTCCTTGAGGCCCCTTGGGGCTGAGCACCCAGTGAGACATGGCTGTTAATGGAAATGCACCCAGAATACAGGCATTGGACCTGGATCAGAGACTCTTGCACGTTGGACTGACATGCCATCAACATCATGGGAGTGCATCTGTCCCAGTCCTGCTGAAGGGCAGAGGTCAGCAGAGGGAGTTGAACTGCCAGGGTGCAATAAACATCTGTATAAAGCCATCTCTCTGAGGACTTCTCATAGTTATCACTTATCAGCCTTTTGGCTAAGATCAGTGTAGCATCTGTTCTTAACACAGTGTCCTGATCTTCTGCCCTTTGAGGAGACAGGAATGAATAAAATTAAGTCTTCAGGGCACATCTCCAAACCAGTCCACAAGGCATCCTCCTCCACAGGACTGAAGGTATACTGAATTGTGAGGAGGCTATGGATACTCTATGCTGTTCTGTGCTTCATTATGCTGTCAAAAGGCTTGTTCTGGATTTCTACAGGACTTAGGAATCCAAAGGTTCTGATTTCCTGACTCCACAACTATCAGTACTCTAGGCCACTGCTTCCATCCCCAAGATGAACAGATGCACCTTCTTGCTGAAACAGCTATTCACAAAGGATGTGGAAAGACAACGATGAGGGCACCCGAGGAAAAAGAAGAAGGAAAGTAAGAAGTGACTTTTTCAGATCAGGCAGACTTAAACAGAGACTGTGTTCTTTGCTATGTGCTGTTTAGGGGATTGTCAAGCTTATCTTTGATGACCAAATAGACATTTTACTGGAAATGTTAGGGAGTAGCACAACAGGGCCCACAATAGCAGTACTCTGCTGCAGAGGTGAGGCCTAGATGGGTGACAGGGCCAAGGGGACACAGCAAAGCAGGTTATTGCAAAGATTAGGTACCTGCGTTGGATGTGTACGGGGTGCCCAAAGGGCCAACAGAGTTGAGACAGTTGAGGGCACATTCCAGGAGCATGCAGTGCAGTAGATCTGATCAGGGTGACCATCCTATGCATCCACTGTGGGTAGTTTGGGTTACATCTATCACTGGAGTCTTCTATCTACAGTAGGTCTGTCTCACATCATGGGGAGCCAGCAGCCAGGGCCACCAATTCACCTTCATTGAGTGCAGCTTCTATCTGTTCTGCTTTGGAACACAGCTAGTGCAAAGGAGGCCAGGGTAGACTTGGTAGACAGGGTCAATCCTGACCTGCTGGTGGAGGCTTAAAAGGAGTCAAGCCCCATATGCAGGCTTTAGTTGCCAGCTAGTGATCTACAGCAGGTGGCTGGTCTGGATATCCTTTTAGGGTTAGGTACAGAACATCTGTAGCCAGGACGCCAAGCCCTTCAGACACATGCACCTGGCTTGGAAGACATTGTCTAAACCCAGTGGCAGGATCACTTCCCCCAAGGCAGCAGCTCAGTGCAGTGAACAGAGCATTATAAAATCGCTTACCTCCGAAGTGCTGAAGCCCATGGTGGCTTCCCCCTCTCTAGCATTTGCTAGTTCTCCTGATTTTCCCCTTGGACCCTACTGATTAATCAATGTACATGTCAAGTTTTTTTATATAAACTTCCAGGTTAGCAATCCATCATAGCAGCCTATCTTAATCCACCTTGATAAGGTCTGCTGTCCACAGCAATACCCCCCATCCCTGAGAGCTCTCCTCCATGCCAGTTGTCTCACACAGCAACCCAGCCAGGTCTTCCACACTCCCAGGGGCTGGCCCTGTAAGTTGTGCAGGCTCCATTACAGAAAGCTCTCCTGCTGCCAGCTTGTCTGATCTAGATTGTCCCTCTCCTCCTTAGACAATGTAGCCCAAAGAAAAGCAGAATTCTGATTTATCCTGCTTATATTGGACTGCAGATTTTCCAGTACTTCATTAGATAAGCGAGGAATGAAGGCTTTCACATTCATTTAGGCCCAGCAAGCGTTATTAATAACTAGGTAGTTTGTTTAAATTCGTTTACACTATTTTTACTCCATTTGTAATATCCTTGTAGTGCCAAGTCTGTTTTGTGACTCGCATTTCCTGTTCCTGTAAGGCTACAGAAGCCAACATGGCGTAAAAAAATATCTACCAACCTTGCTTTGCCGCTTTGTTTCGGTTGTTAAACACGTTCGCTGGCTGTTATATGTGGGTCTAGTCCTCCTTATTAAAGGCTTACAATAGTTTAAAACCACAGAAGGAAAGCTTTTCAACATACTTTTCCGTCGTATTCATTCTGTTTACCCTTACACAGTGACCCCTGTCAGCACGAACATATCACACAAGCTGCCTTGTGGCCCATGGCCAGACACATCTCTCCTGCGCTGTTGCGTTTGCTGTACGTAACTTCACCGGGCTCACCGGCTTCGTGATGTGCTACTGCTGTGTCCGCCCGGATTATTTCTCTCCGCTTCTCTTCTCTTCTCGTTGTTATTTAAAGGTTATAACTGTGCTCAGGTTCCTTAACCTTTCCAACATTGGCGCAAGGATTAGCGGTCTGGCACGTTTGATGAAGACAGCCATCTCTGGCTTTATTAATATTTCCTGATCACCGGCGTAACGTTGAACTTTTCTTTGCGCGTTAACAAGAAAACATAGGAAAAAGGTGAAGGTTACGGATTTCTCTTTTTATTAAAATATTAATTGCTCACGACAAACTACAACCAGTAACTCTAGAGCCTCCAAATTTAAAGCCCACAACAGACAGACGCACAAGTGCACGCAAACACACCGAACGCAACAATCAATAGCGAAAAAGGACCCACTGCTGAAACAATGCATCTTTCATCGTAGAATAAACCTGTTCCTTTGAAATCAGTAGTTACTTCTACAGGGTCACTAAAATGTTAAAATAAATGTAATCGAATACTGGAATATAACGTTCGTTGAATTGCGTACTCGAAATAAAAGTTATAAAAGTAGAAAGTGGGTGTGTTGTGGGTTTTGGGGTTTGTCCCGCTTTCAGCTTCAATGTCCGGGTGCAATTAGAAACCAGAACAAGACTACTTTTAAAAATACCGGTATCAAATTACAAATATTTTTTTAAATTAAAATCTGCCAGTTGGGATTTATTGTTTTTTATATATTATTTGAGAGCACTGCAAGCCAACTGCCCATTTAATAATTGAGCTTCAAATGTTGCGCATTTAACAAAGTATCTTCTATCGCAGTCCTATTCATTTATACACATCCTGGATGAAGAAGTGTTAATGTGAAAAAGCAGTTTTTAAATCCTTTATATTTGAGATAAACGTGTATTGCGGGGGACAATAAAAGCTGTCTAGAAAGTTTGTCGAAAAATATACCCGGTTCTTATCTGTTGAAAAGCTGGCAATCCGAGTGTGTTGGGAGTTTCATAACTACTGTGATCTAAGTAGCCAAACTAAAGTACTCTGTGTTGCTGAGCTTTTCGCGTTATCTGAGGAAGATAAGACATCATCTGCATGTCACCATAGTTTGTATAGATAAAAGTAAGCGACGCAAAACATACGATATCATCAATTACAGGATACTTTGATTTCTTCAAATAATTATGAAAACTACACTACACTCAGACCGTTAAATAAACGTCAAGCCAGGCTAGTGACCGACTCTAGCAGTCCCATTTTGGGTCCCACATTCCTACAAGAACTACAGAGCCGAAAACTGAACGTAGTTAATATGAGTATTTGGCCGTTGCCTCACGCCAATGAGTCAGTGCAGCGTGCAAGTGTTTACCTCGTTTCACGTGACTGGACAGAGGCTGAGGCTGTAACATAGCAACAGTGCCTGCGAAATCAACAACATGGCGACACCTCGGGAGCGAGAAGCTGCTAGCTATCTCGAAAAACACAAAATCCTCGATCTGATGGATAACTTAGCTAGCATGCTGTTTTTCCACAGACCAGGTAGGTAAACATTTTCCTAACAAGTAGTCAGTGCGGTCAAGCTACAGACACCATTGCATTTACAACACTTAATAGCGAAAACAGAACGTGTTGACAGATTGGTAGGACAAATGCATGTCTTGTATTTCTTTGTACATGGAAAAGGAAAACTAAAGCATGTGTTATTAAGTTTTTGTTTTGGAAGTTGGAAACGCATTGTCTACATCAATTTTCATAGCGCTTATGTTTACTCTATCATTTTATCGGTGTTTTAAGATAAAATAACCTGTATATTTCTGGAGCTACTCGCATTTCTCTATAACAGTCAATATTATTTTGATGTTTTACAACTACTGTTAAATGTATTCACTGAGTCAAACAACAGGAAGAAGTGTAAAGAGTGTCCTTTCCGTTTTGAATAAGGACAAGACGTCAGGTCAAGCTCGATAATGAACACACCGGAGGGCACTCAATTAGAAACAGCCTCAGTATAAGCTGAAAAATGCGTTGTGATGCAAAAAGTGACAAACTAAACTAGAAAAACCATGGTATGTTTTTTTCAGATGATCGTACAAAGTCATCTTATGCAAACTGGGTGTACGCCTTCTCTTCTTATGATTGATGGAAGATCTGTTATCATCACACACTTTTTCTCTCTCTCACAGAAAGGCCTCGTGAGTTTTTGATATCCCAACTTGAAATGCTGAAAGTAACCAGAATGAGAACCGCGGACAGCCCCTGTCTTTTCAATGACTCCAATTTAGAAGCAATTTTTGGAATTCTCGATCCCCCGAGGCAAGGATATATCACTCTTGCACAGTACAAAGAAGGTGAATTGGGATTTTTAAATCAAAACATGTTCAATATTATGCAGGTGATGAATGTATTCTTAAAATGTGTATTTTTATTTTTCCTACAGCACTGAAAACACTGGGAATTAAAACATTTGATGAATCTCCGGAAGGTTGTGAATTCAACAGAATATCACAGGATACATTTAAGAAAGAGGCGTAAGTAATTAACCATTTGTACCACTCCTTTCTGAGTTGTATTTTTCACATTGCTTATAACTTTTCATAACACCTTTACACTGGAATTATCGCTTATATATAGCACTTAGCAAAAAGCGAACAAGATGCCTGTTTTTTTTTTCTGTAGAGATTTATTAAAATGGAATCAAGTCAAGCAGGCCATATGCTGTCTTTCCTGGTATTCTTATTAGCAGTTAGCTCCATGTTTTAGGTTTTCCTTTGACATTGTCACATCAGTAATTGCTGTGCGTTACGTGCCGGTGTCTGACCATGTACATTAAGAAGTAGAAGTTGAAATGGAAGAAAAGGTAAACGAAGGTGTCTGTAATTGCCAAAGCTATGGTGCATTTAATCTGACAGCTAAGAAATTTGGAGTGGACAATTCCTATTAGTTGCTATTAGTACAAATCACACTTTTATATGATAGATAGGGAACATATCCATTGCATGTTTAAGTATAACCACATCTATATTACATTTTTAGTTTTGATTGCTTGCTATAACTTGAGCTTTAGATACTGCTTTGTTTTAATTATGTGATTTACAATCACAACATGTCCATATTGAGTAATAATGTTTTGCAATAACCTTTCTAAAAGTTCTGTTGATTGCTTGAACAGTTTACAGGGTATCATGCAAGTGTTCTGTTTGGTTAAATACAACTACATCATTTTGTCTCAGTAGGTATTAGATAAATGTTAATGTTATGCATTCAAAAATAAAAGCTTTAAGCTCTGCCCACTGTAGCTCAGTGTGCTAGCAAATATACTTTAACAAGAATCAGAAAAAAATGATAAATGCATTGTACTTGCAAGACTATACACCTTGTCAGCATTACACATAGATTTATTTTCAACATTCTGGTTATCTTGAAAGACATGTCATCATGGTGGTGTTTGATCAACTTTTACTGCATTAGTGCTTATTATCTCATTCTTTTAATTATTTGAACTGCCAGATAGGGGTAATTGGGTTTTTGGGACATTTAACACAAGTTTGCATCATTGTATCGGGCAAGATAAACCTTTTTGATAGATATTTTACTTCCTAACCACAAAATTGTATTAATGTTAAACTTTTCATAAGTTTAATACAGAATACTTCCTGATTCATACACAAAAGAAAATGTGAATTAATCACATTATTTTCTTAAACTAATAAATAGCTTTGTATACATACATTATTTATGTAGGTTGCAGCGTCAGCATCTCTGTAGGCTGCAAAGAAAAGTAAAGGTAAGGTCACCTGAAGAACGCCCCACAGCTGAAATGATGTGTCTCTTTTCTTTTAAGCGTGGAATAAACCTTTACTTGTTCCTTTGCATACATTATTTACGTCTTAAATTATCAATTGTAAATATTTAGGTATCTACAGGTAATAAGGGACCTATTGAAATTAGTATAATTATTTTTTTTCTTTTTTGCAGGAAGGATGGCTTAATGAAGTGTTCTGCAACTTTTAAAGTTTAAGCTCTACAGTTCTCTCTTTAGAGGGTGTGACTTCAGATGGAATAGTTTTTTATTTTACAAACAACTTATTTAAAGTTACATATAATCTCTAAATGGTGTACTTTAAATTTATTTTTTGTACAGCATTTTCCCCCATTTGGGGCATTCTTTACACGTATTGTAAGATTGTGAAAATTAGTTAATTCTGAGCTTCTAACCCATGCAAAACAAATTACTTTTTGGCTTTTCCCAGTATTGCTAGTACAAGTAGATAAATCCTGAGCAGTTATTTCCATCACCTCTCTCTCTCATTCCCTCCCCAAAAAAGAAACCACATTCATTAAATGTATTATGTATGAAACATAAATGTTGTCATGGAGCTTAAATATAAACCAATATTTTTAAAATTGATACACTTTTGTTAGAGATATAAATATATTATTAACCTTAGTGCTGTTCTGATGTTGTAATTGAAAGTAAACTTATTGACCTGACTGAAACAGTTCAAAAGAATCATTTTTTTTCTAGTAGATTATCATGCAATATGAAAAATAATTTATTAATGGGATAAAATCCATGTGCAAAAAGGGCAAATTACAGATATACTGAAAATCACTGATAATATGAGGATTTAAAGTGGGAGTTTCTGATAGTGGTTTCACTACATCAAGAGTCGAAACCACCAACCATGTACTAAAGGAAGTAGTAGTTTTAGTTATTAAAGGACCAATTGCAGCTGGACTAAAGCAAACTAATGTCAGATGGATCTGGAAAACATGAGAACTTTAGAAATATTGAAATGAGGGGAGGCCATTTGGTAAAAGTTTATTTGTTTTTGTTATCTGCTTCAATTGTAGAAATGGTAATCCTATTTAAAAATAATGAATGGAAGGCAGCATACTCACTTAATAGGTTCAATTGTCTTTGCAAAACAGTTTCCTTTTGTCTAATACAAGAAAGACAGAAGTATTATGTCAGCTGATGTATATGATTAATCATATTAAAGAAGGTGTCTAGGCAAGCTGCAGCCTAACGTAATAGGATGTGTAAAGTGTATTTAACAAAAAGAGCAGCTTTTGAACATGTTGATTCTGCCATTAGAACTGATAATGAACAGTTTAAGAAATAGCTTTAAGTCATATTTCCCCTAGGAAGTGTCATTCATCACTATAAAAAGTACTTTATAGGGGCTAAGCAGTAAAACGTATTGACCAGTGTGGTGTTTTTAAGAGTAACCAATTACTCCAGTCTGAGTGACAGGGCTTCACTGAGAAAATGAAGGTAAAGACCAATTACTATTATAGAATTTGCTAAGGTACCAATAAATAAACAACTACAGTGGTTATAGATAGCATTAGGCATAAAAAATAATTAAACTAGGATCCTATTTAAAAAAATGACATAAAATGAGATAGGATTTAATATGTTCCGATGGTTGAGAATAAAGAACTTTAAAACACTCTGTAAAATGGAAACAAAACAAAAATCAGTCACAAAACAAGAATCTGTATGAAATGTAAACAATAATAACTTCCTAAAACTAAGATTTGGATATATTTCAAATGTATAAATCACACAAGTTTCAGGTAATTCCTGGGTTGTCTCAATCCATTTCAGGCACAATTATTCTTTGTCTGTTCCAGAGTGCTACAGAATTCTTCAGCTGAACTGGCTTTTTGGACCATAATATACAGTAGAATGGTGCCACTATGCAGGACTCTTACAGCGTACAGTAATAAACCTATGTTAAAGTGTTAAAACCTTATTACAAACCTAGGCCTTCAAGGTCTTTTATCCGACACTGGGGAGATTGAAATTGGCTTCTTCGATATTTTGAAATGAAAGGATGATTTTTGCCCTAGTGGTTGCAGAATAGCCCAAGGGGTTGAATGACAATAAATCAAAATGGACATTGATATAGTTTCTTTCACGTAATTCATCTAAAGGTTATGCAGAGGAAATAAATAAATGGGATCAATTACCTCATGCAAGAGGAGTTGTAAATAGAAGGCGCTTCTACTCAAAGTACTCCCAAACTATAAACGTCTTTTACACGTGTAGAATATACAGTAGCAGCAAAGTGTCCTGATAGGGAAAGACAGCCAACAGGTCACTTGAAGATTAAACAGAGATACTGTATAGTGAAGGAGTAAATCTCCAAAATCATCAGGGCATTATCTTTGGGATTATAGTGCACGTTTAAATCAATTCATTTTATATAGGTAACCTGAACGTTATTATTATTGAAATAGGTTTGCTAAAAAATCAACATAGAGTAGACCCAAGCAGTCATGTGTTCGTTTATAATCCTTCCATTTCCGGGCGTTTTTCCTGGGCGATCAGCATATAGTATACTTTATACTATATAATTAGTATATTGTATTCCGTATTACAGTATACATCCTTATTTGAGTTTTACGTTCGCAGGGATATCACTTTAAAGCGTTTGGATAACTTTAACTAATCGTGGTCAAATTCACGTCAAACTTCCGAAGGTATGCAGAGAAAAAAATACATGATATACGGACTGTAACGTTTTGCTCTATCTTTATTAGCACGTCAATTTGTGACCAAATTCTTATCTACAATAATAGATAACAATACTATACTCAATAATGCCGAGACCCATATATACGGCAGCGCAATTACTGGAGCTTTTTAATAATGTACCTTTTTCAAGGGTTTAAAGACCAGCATGCCACCTGGGATTTGAACCCACGACCTTTCGGGCCGTTATCTTTAATACTGTTGCCCACATTTTGACAGTAAAATGATTTAGTGTTGTAAAAGACCACATTGCATTCGTTTTAACTGAAAAAAACCGATTTGACCCCTATTATACTTGGTACGATTTATTTTTCGTGAACGTATGTGTTTGTATTTGGATGGAAGGCTACTTTTCGCTTTTTTAATGTAGCGTAGAAGCGAGGGAAAGAGGCTGATTATAAATAATGAATGGAAAAAGACACAACAATGGTTTTTAACATGCGTAAAAGTAAATGCTTTAAAGTTTCCAATCCTTTGTAAACCATTTGCTCAATAAGACAAAAAAAAATTTTGTACTTGTAAATACTATATATTCATAACATTAAAGGAAACTTGGAATAAAATCCAATCATTTAATTAGGATTAGTGTTGATTGAGTCATGACTTCAAGGGTACATCACAATGAATTATTTTTTAACGCGGTACTGTAAACTCATGACAGTTTCTTTAACTCGTAAAAATCAAACTTGTGGTAATTTCACTTGAAAACTTTACAAGGTGACAAAGAAAATCAAAACGATCAAAACTCAATATGGAAAATTAAGCGGAAGCACCACTTCTTAAATGTGGATAACAAAATACTTTAAATATTGATTTCGGATTTTTGAAGACAAATTTCGAATTCAGCTTGGCTGTGCTAAACGTTTGACACTATTCCTAAAATTTGAGGTACATTCTGGATCCACACCAACCTTGAGTGCTTCGGCTATTTTAGCACATTTTCACTAGTTCACTAGTAATTACGCCTGGATTTGTGTTCGAGGGCACGTCTTGAATAAATACTTAATTTATAAGATTCATTGGATGGTGATATTGCAACCCATCTTCTAACTTTTTAAAAAATATAAATCCAATGTACACCAAGCAACAGACGTTTTAAATTCCGTATCAAAAAAGTTTTCTTCGGTTTTTATCTCCTTATTGGCACTCTTGAGTTTTGGGAGAAATATGCTTGCGCCGAACGAAGAGTGACAAAAAAAAAACACACACGGCTAAAAACAATTGGGGCTGCAGCTGCCCACCCTTGCAGGGGGTCAGCTGCCCCCTGCCCACCCCTTCAAAGTGGCAACGACATTGGCATTCACATTGCTGTGGAGTGGAGCAAGTACTGCACCTTTGCGCAGCAGCAGCTCTTCAGTTCTCAAAGGTCTCCCTCTCAGTGCACAAAGGCAGCTGCCGAAGGAACAGTTTCAGCCTGAGAGCGAACCGGTGCTGAGAGCAGTGATAAACAATCTCCAGTAGATACCGAGAGACGGTCTGGGGGAAGCCACACAGACAAAACCCGCGACTGCAACGCTGTTTTACCGGGACCTCAGTCCTTGGCTGGACCGCAGACAGGTGAGAAACTCTGGAAAGCACATTCGGAACCGGTTGTGAAGTTAATGTCTGGGCCTAGAGTCGCGCTAAAAGCGACCTGATTCCGTGCCTCTGTTTCCCGTACGTGGTTGTTTTTTTGCAGAAAATGGCGTCATCGCTCTCTTGTGTTCTAGCTTTGCAAAGAGGGGAAACGCACCGGTTTGTAAAGTCGAAACTGCCCTTACACGTTGCCACTAAAGGTCTTCCGTGTGGCCTTTGTGGTTTATGGACCCTCGGATCCCCCTTGTATCGTTTTAATCTGACTTTGTCTTAAAACGAAGGCAGTGGAAAGACGCGCAAAGCCGGAAGGGTCACCGGTCCTGTGCGCCAAGCTGCTTCTTGGAAAAGGTGGCACCGAGCCGCAAAGCGCAGCGTTTTAGGGTTCAGATTTGGGCCATTTGTAATGGTTCTGGTACAGTACATGGCTGGTAGCCGATGTGCTTTATTTCGATGTGTTCTTCATCGCGTTTAAAAATAACCCAGATGAAAAACTGTTTATGTAAACACGGTGTTCTTTGGATATCTTTTCTTTGGTTCAGCCCGCTTTTACGCTGCACTCCCCTGCCATGCAGCAGTCTGTAAAGGGGGCCTCTCTCTTACGGTTTGAAAGGTGCGTTTTGTACTTGGCTTTTCCTTTGATCAACTTAATCTGGCCTTTTGTGGCCCAAAATAGGGGCGTTTTGGGACTGACAATATAGCCGTGTAAAGGAGATTTCAGGGGATAATGGAGCGATGCAAATCGTGCCATGAGAACGGTAAACTGCTTTTGCGCTCTGGATTGCCGAATGCCAGTAAAGAAAGGCTCCAAGCAAAATTCTCTGCTGGACAATCGGAGTGTACGAAACACACAAAAAAACACGGGTTGTTGTAGCTGCGCAACGGTGCTACAGCTTTGCGCATGCAGGCAGCACTTGTCGACAGTCTGCTGCTGCTACAGTCGCCCTTTCCTGTTGGGTTGGCTTGTTGAAAATGTTTTATATTGTTTGGAGAAACGGTTATGATTGTCTTAATGGCCACTGCCTCCAAGTTACCGCTGTCTTGGAATTCAATATAAAGTTTGTGCAGCTGCCGATACATCTTGTCCGCGTGTACGCGTCCCCCGCTGAATGTTGCCAAGTATCTCAGCACCCGGATCCCCGAGCGGGTGGCCAATTAAGCGCCGCACTTTTTCAGACAAAAAAGTTTTTGCACTTTAAAAAAGTGCTAGTTAAGGCTCTTTGCGCTGCCCAATCTGGAATCGGAACGAACAACAAGGGGACAACGATACCCATACAAAGCTGTGTCCGGTTTAAATGCATTATCAACAGTTTCCAAGATAACACTTTTTTTAAATAGGCACCTGTGGGAAAACAAAAGGGTTATAAACTGGTTTATACTCAGACACACTCACGTGTTTATGGTTTAAGTTTCCTTACGTCGAACTGAACCTTTTTGCACTTACAGATTTCGCTGTGCCAATTGCGTCACGCAGTGATTCTGTGCTTTCGGTTGTGCTCACTGCGTCTGAAAGGCAGCGGGCTGGATTTAAGCGAAGTAAATGGCTTTCGGACTAAATTGTATAAAAACAGTTAAATAAAATTCGTTTCAGGATGGGGAAAACGTGGATTCAGTGTACCGTAGTAGATCTGCAATAGGCTTGGTATATGATGCAAGCGAAAGAGTTTTAAACGCTCCAGCTCGTGTGGTACACAAGGTAGTTGCATTTTCCAGATCGGAGACACGTGTCTGTGTGGCTCTGATGGCACGGATAGTTTTTCCCGATTGTGCTGGAGATGAAGGATTGGAAAGAAAAGCATACCAGCTCTTGCTACTTAGGTTTTTTATTGTGATGTTTCTTCAAATATACTTTGTTTCTTGCATCGCTCTTCGGAATCGGTGAAGAAAATGTAATGTTTTATGTTTCGTGTTGTATGTATATGATCGAAGGTGCGCAGTATGTGGACAATGATTTTAAGACGCGTTAAAGCGTTTTGCCTATCCATAATGACTTTTTTCGAGTTGGGTATATACTTGAACGAAATGAAATCAAAACGCAGAGCTTTTGTTTTCGATACTCACATTAGACTTCTGTTAGATGCTGTACTGTCAGAAAAATTGGAGATAGATTGTGTCTGAAGCGGAAAAAAAACAGTTTCCACATTTTGTTTTAACTAACTCGGTATTTAATGAAGGACGAAACGGAACCTTTTGAAATGTAAGAGCAAAACTCTCAGTGGCACTGAATAGTTTAACATCTTTTCTCCCAGCTGGTGGTTGCATAATTAATTTAAGTTTTATTGAGGTCTTACTGCTTTTAATTGGTTTGTATCAAACACCACCGTATTTGGGCTTTTTAAAATTTGTTTTACATAATTTATTTTCTGTGTAAATGGAGAACAGTTCACGCTGTTTGGAAACTTGTTGAAAGGTTTGTAGCAGTAACGGCTGTTAAGAAGATTTGTCTGGAAGATTCGCCATGCTGTGCACACTCAAAAGATTCTCCATGAGTTTCAACAACACATCCTTAGAAGTATTCTTTTGTCGTGTATTACATTTCTATCTGTGATTCAAACTATTTCAACTGTTTAATGTCTGTAGAATGGTAAATGCGCACATACATGTAAACTTTGAAATCAAATGTAATTAGTGAGCTGTGCCAAATCAGTCATGCTTTGCTTGTCATTATATAACATTGTTTTATAATCTAATTAAACGTGGATATTCATTTGCAGTAAAAATACAGATTTCTGGGTTATTTTTTATTAAGATATTGGGGGGCATGGTGGTACAGTGGTTAGCATTGATGCCTGGCAGAGCTGGGGCCCTGGATTCAGTTCCAGACTTGTTGTGCTGTCTGTGTGGAGTGTGTAGGTTCTCTCCATGTTCATGTGGATTTGTTTGGGTGCTCTGGTTTCCTCTCACAGTCCAAAGCACATACTGGTTGGTTAATTGACTTCTATGAATATTGACTCGAGGTGTGAGTGCTTGTTTGTGGCTGTCTGTGTTTGCCCTGCAATCGACTGGCTTCCTGTCTAGGATGTACCCTGTTTTGCGCTCATTGCTTGCCGGGATAGGTTCTGGCTCCCCTGCAACCCTGAACTGGCAGAAGCAGTCAGAAAATGGATAGATTATTAAGAAATTGGAAAACAAGGAGTTAGTTTGGAAAATGTTTCACCTGAAAAGTTTTTTCACTATTGTCTGGACGAGAGACATTTGCTTCTTGTAACAAAGCAGCATTCTAGATGACAGAAGTCTTTGCAAATCACTTTAAAAAAGGACACTTTAACCCCTGTGGCATCTGTCAAGAAAGTCAGAAGCCTACTAGCCCTTTGCTTTCTTGGATTGACCCAAGCACCTATCATTTAATTTAAACTATCTTTGTTATAGAACAAAATGAAAATTGAAGTTCCATATAGTATTGGAAGTTATATTGGAAGTTCCCACTCGGCCTGTGTGCTACATTTCCCCTTTTAAAAAACGTCTTGATGCGTTCGGTGTGCTAAATAACTCCAGAGATGGCCCGCCTCTTGCAGGTTTGAGCGAAATGAAACGCAGCTCTGACCTTAAACTGGCATAGTATTTGTTATAAGGAACGTTTCAGATGAGGGGGTGCCGTTCAGCGAGTTATGCTCATTTGGTTGCACAGTAGCTAATTAGTCGTAGAATGTCATGAAGTTGTTTTATGAAAACGGTGAACATTATGGTGTTCCTGAGCGTCTCACCAAGTAAAGGTGGTAAAGTATTTAAATGATAGTTCAGACATTGCTGGTTGGAACCCTGGCTGTGCCTGGGATCTATGAAATCGATGCACAGGCTCCGATGTTATATGGGCTTCTGTCTGTTGCAGAGGGGAGTAGAGGTTAGGGTTTTAGACTCTTGAGTGGAGGCTTGTGGGTAGCAAAGCTGCTACACCGAAGAGCAAAGTACTGTACTGTACTCTACCGAGCTGGCCTCAGCAAACCCATCTGTATCAATGTAATCTATTGTATATAAGCCATTTCAGCATATAATAATAATTAGGTTTATTCCATGCTGGAAAGAGAAGAAAGAAAACATGTTTCCGCTGTGGAGCCTTCTTCAGGTGTGAGCACCTGAAGTTCCTCACACCTGAAGAAGGCTCCACGGCTGAAACGTTGTTTTCTTTTTTCTCTTTTCATCATGGAATAAACCTATTACTTGTTCCTTTGCAGCTACCCACCTGGACTACTACTACTAATAATGATTAATAATAAATTAGCTTCCTTCTTGTGCAGCGGTGAACCCTGTGACTTTATGGGTGCCTTTGAGCTTGTAGTATTGCCAGTGATAGTGTCACACCTGCTGCTAGTCAGAATCCCCTCACCCTAATCAAGCACCAGCTGGAGGCAATCCCCACAAATGATCTAACCCTTCTTCCAATCAGAGCACCTCACTTGCTAACACACCCTCTATTTCCAGAAATACTCAAGCCTTCTCCGTTTCACTGAACATTGCTTGGTATTGTTAGCTTCCTCAGAACTTCTTGCCTCGCATTGATAACTATTGTTCTTGCTTTTGGATACTCGAACCCAGAACTCACCTTTTGAACTCGATCGAGTCTAGCGTTTTGGATTTGTCTGCCTTCTCCTCCTGGATTACCTTCGGTATCGAACCCGGAACTCGCCCTTGACTACGCCTCCGCCCTTATGTTTTGGATTTACCTAAAAATCTCTCCTGACTCGGCTCCACAACTCCGCATAGGGTTCATCATTCAATATACAACGCACAGCGTTACCGATAGCCATGTCACATCTGCAAACAATGATCATTTACTTTCTCTGGAAGTCTGAAAGCTCATGTATGGTGGAAGAAAAGCAGTTTCTTTCATCGCCCTGATATTAGGGGATCCCGTTTGATGACTCTGAGGCCTGCCATGTGCCCGGTGCTCTAAGAATAGGCTCTGGGTTGCTGTGACCCTCACCATGACAAGAAGCCTTCTGATAATGAATGAAAAGTGTAGCTCCAGTTTAACAGTGTGTTGTGGTCTCTTTTCATTCCAAGTATTCATAGGGCTGTAAGAGGTTTTAAGTTGGTAAAAAAAGGAAGGGCTTTAGAGAAAGACCTGTTGTACTCTTGGAAAGTTCATAGATATTGAAGAGAAAAAAAAGTAAGCAAATAAAATCTAATATTGTCTGATTTATGGCATTGTAGTGGTAAGGAGCAAGATTTCTTAGCTATATATATTACATCTGGAATGTATTGCTTAAGCAGTGTGAAAAGAAATTGAAAACCGACACTTAGCTTACTTGTCTAATGTCTTTTAATTTTTTTAAAGAAAAGTTCTTGTTCTTCCAACTCATATCACTGCAGCTGTTATTGGTGCCAAGCACCACCACTTACAGTTCTAATACAACAGTCGGAACCCTTTATGAACAGTGTTTTCAATGAAGATATTGTCAGAGCTGGGCTTGGAGGAAAGAGACGTGCAAAGGAAACCTGTACGCACAGCAGTGAGCCTGAAAGTGTCTTGAAATCGTAGCGTGTGCCATTTATCTGGCACCCTGTTTTAAAAACTCCCGTTGCACGCCACTTTCCCTCCTGTGTAGAAGCTGTTTTGCGAAAGCAAAGCCTGTTCCTATTTATGCTTACATGCAAGCTGGATGGCAGCAAAGTGGCGTCATGGGCCAGCTTGCTGGTGTCGGGATTCTATTCTAAGGCAGCACAGGCACAGCAGGTTTCCTAATTCAAATCCCGTTTACACACTCACTGTTACTGTGACATTTATATTGCTTAGTAGTTTCTTTTTAGTGTATAGGATTGCTTTGTGTGTACAACTACAGTGAAAATAATTTAACTCCTACTGGCTCTAGCTACCAGCGGAAGTAGTGTAGGATTTTCTCTGTAATCATTTTGATCCTTTCTTTTCATGTTGTTCAAATGAACCGTTAGTCAGTTCCTGAAGTACAGAATGCAGCGTTCGGAAGCTTCTTTTTTTTTCCTCTTTTAACAAAACTCACATTTTCTCGTAATGGCAGTGCTGAAATAGCAGGCCTTGCCATTATGAGAAAATGATTTTTGGACTTATCCTCACAGGCTGAGACAGGAACTGAAATACTAGGCATCTGCAAAGATGGATCCTTCATCTCTCAGTTGCCAAATATGTGGATCACTATGGAGGTAAATGCAACTCTGATCATCTCTGCTCGACATTGGTGTTACCACATTCTTGTGTGTTTTCTTTGGATCTCTGTAGCTAAACAAAGCTGGGCCTTCAGTATTGGGATAGGAAACCTCTGAGGAATTACTTGCTTGCTAATGTGTGTGGTGTTGGTGGACCAGTAGGTGGTGCTCTTGCATTTAGATAAGACTTTTCAAGCCAGTTTCTTGGTGTGACAGTACAATGTGCTGAAGGGGCTGGTATCATTTGGATGAGATGCCAGAATGAAGTCCTGAATGCTTGTTATTACTTAAGATCCCATGACACGGTATATACTGTAAATGTAATAGTGTTACCCTGACCTTCTTGCTTAATTCCACTCTGATCTAATGCAGTTTGGCTAATCTTAAATTACCCTTTAGGGTAGCTTGATGGTTGGCATTGCAGCCTCACAGTGCTTGGGCTCTGGGTTCAGTTTTGGTCCTGGGGTGCTATCTGAGTGGAGTTTTTGTGTTCTTCCCATGTTTGCCTGGGTTTCTGCTGGGTGCTTGGGTTTCCCCTTACAGTCCAAGGACACACTGGAAGGTTGGATGTCTGTTTCCAGGCCTTAATGAGAAATTGGCAATCCTGGTCCTGGAGGGCGTTGTGTGTGTCCAGGTTTTCATTTCAGCACTTGACCTAAACCAGTTCAGTATCAACTCGTTAACTGGCCCTGGCATGAGGTTGTGTTTCATGTCCTGAGATAGATTAGTGTCCTGTCCAGGCTGTAACCTGCCTTGCGCCCGCTGCTTGTCAGGATTGGCTCTGACTCCCCTGTGACCCTGTATGAAATGGTTAGAAAATGTCTTGATGGATGGAAGTTCCCCTCTGATTAAATTGATAGTAATTTCTCACATGAGCCAGAGGCAAAGTACAAATGCAAACTGTTTTTTTGTGTTCCTGCATAAACTATGAAAAACAATAATAATTAAACAATTTATTTGTTTCTAAACAGTTTTAGAAGTGCAGTACCTGCACAGAGCTTTGCTGTATTAAAATGTCCTAATGAAGGTTTCCTTTTTCCAAAGAGCTAAAGGTAATTATTATTATTGGTAATAATAGTTCCTTGCACTTATACAGAGCTTTTCTGGACACTCCACTCAAAGCAGTTTACAGGTAATGGGGATCCCCTCCACCACCACCAATGGATGATGTGAAAGCAGCCATAGTGTGCCAGTCTACTTACCACACATCAGCTATCAGTGTGGAGGAGAACAGAGCCAATTTATAGATGGAGGCCATGATTGGTAATGACCAATGGGAAAACTCTTTTTGAGAAATGCCCTGGGGTTTTCAATGACCACAGAGAGTCCGGATGTCAGTTTTACACCTCATCTAAATGACAGAACTTTTTACAGTATAGTGTCCCACGTCACTATACAGGTATATTAGGACTCACACAGACAGCAGGGTGAGCACCACCTACTGGCCCCACTAACACCACTTCCAGAAGCAACCTTAGTTTTTCCCAGGAGGTCTCCCATCCAGGTACTGACCAGGCTCACAAATTATGTCGGCCCATAAATTATGTCCTTATTACAATGAAACCACTGAAACCACTTTGACCTACTGCAAAGTATGTGCTTTGTTTTGCACATTTCCATGGAAAAGATTTGCAAAATGAGTTCATTGCACCTCCATTCATTTAAATGATTTGTGCTGCTCTCTAATTAACTGATATTCCAGGTAAAGCCAGAGTATTCTGTGGATTTTAATAGCCATCACAAAACAATTCATTTGAGGCATTTATAGATAATATTCACATCCACCTGGAGGGCAAAGTATATTATGCCTATTGTTCTGTTCTTGGGAAATTAACTTGACATTTTTGTAAAAAAAAAACTCTCAAACCTTCTTCTACCTTGGTGCAGTTTTGTCAAGTAATGTGTTTTGGGGGGTTTTCACATATGTAGAGTTCCCCTAGATCAGGAACCAGCAGGCTTGGATCTGGAGAGCTGCAGTCCAGGTAGTCTTAGTTCACCCTTTTTGTAGATCAGGAACAATTGTAAATTATTGATTAAGGTAGTGATTCATTCACTTAATTGAAATCCTGCTCTTCTGCGCTGACGGGTTGTCAGATTTTCGTTTCAGATAATCTCTAAATTGTGTTACAGCGGTCAGCATTGCTGCCAAACAGTGCGGGATTTTTTGGTTTGTTTCTGGCCCGAGACACCCCCTGTGTGGTCTCCTGTGGCCATGTGGGTTTTTACCAGAGGCTCTGGTTTCATCCCACAATCCAGACGCCTGTGTCTTTGTGTCCTGCGTGCGTGCGCCATCCGATCCTGACCCAACCTTGTGTCTTCCTTCTCTGGCTCACAGCGACACTGCATTGAACAAAGCTGTTTTTGGAAATCGAGGGAATGATCTCTTAATTACTCAATTTAACAAACGACCTGTTTCATTGATCACGGTTAAATTGTTCCAGGTCTTCAGAGGTTTCAGATTTAACTGCTGGCTAGGGACACTCACGGGCCAAGGCTGGAGATCCCTGCCCTACGTGTTCCGTATCACTCTTTATTTCTTTTTTTTGTTTTCAAATTCAGATCTGCAATTCTTTTTCTATATTGGCCAGATTTGGAACAGACGGCTCTGATGTTTTTCACATCCCGGCTTGCAGCTTTGAATCCTTTGCCAGCTGAGGCACTTGAGAAGCCCCTGTCCTTTCCCAAATCCTTCTTTAAGATCAGAAAATGGTGATCTTGTATTTTATTCTGACAAGTTGTCTTTAAGGTATCCTTCAAATGTTCAGTTTTATATCCATTCAATGTAGCTTGTTGAAATTAGGGCTGGGTGTTACTGCCTAAAATTTATATCGCTGTATAATTTTAATTTTGGATGGTAATGATGCATCATCACTCTATAGAATTCTTTTTTCATAATTTCAATAGAACATGCTTTAAAAGGAGTATAAGACTTGGATAATAAGTTTTATTGCCTGGAGTAAACTATTAGGTCATTATTAACTGTTGGTTAGCTACTGTGTTGTTCCTTTAGTATTTTTAAAATTTCACATTGAATTGAAGTAGAAGTCAAACTTTTTAAAAACATTTTTATTTTGCAGAACTGAAACAATACAATAAACTTATGTACATTAATTAAGTAAACATATAATACTTCAAATACATTTCTTATAAACCTAAATATAATACTTCTTAAAACAAAAAATTACACAAATAAGTTAAAAATTATTCAAGAATTAAAGTAATACTTCCTCAAGTATTCAAATGGCTGATTAGTGTAAAAATTTGAAAAAGTTTAGTCCTTAGGTGATAGAAGAGGTTGCTTGTATTACCGCCTCTGGCTAAAATTGGCGCCCGACATAGTTTGCATAGTTTTTTGCTCGTGGTCCGACTTTTTAAATCCGAACCCTTTCCGAACACGAAGCACCCTTCTTTTCAACAGTTTCATCGCTTGTTCCCATCTCGCTTTCTCCATTTCCCCGCGTATTTGTGTTTGCAGACGGGCACACTGAACACGTGTGTTTTTCACGGAAAAGGAAGAGGACGCCTGCATGTTTTTATTGGCCGCAATGACCTCAAATCCGTCATAGACTGGACGTCTGAACCATCAAAAATCAATAATTCGAAACCTATCAGATTTCCAAAAATCAGCAAGGTGAACATCTTCAGAATTATATACAGTACCTTGCACAAGTACTCAGACCCTTGACCAGTTCTCTCATTTTACTGAATTACAAATCCTATATTGAAATTTATTGCTCTTTGATATTTTTATTTCTAAGCACAGAAACTCAAAATGAATTATTTTAATGTGATGTTAGAAAATATTCTTAAAAATAAAATAATTAAATATGCTGTTTGCGTAAGTATTCAATCACTGTGTTGTGGAAGTTCTAAGTTTACACAGGTGGAAAACAATTGCCTAATGAGTACACTATTGCCTTACAATTGGCCTCTACCTGTGAATCATTAAAATAAGTGCCACATTTTCTGGATAAAAACCCCACAGCTAAGGGATCATTATTCAGGTTGTGAATCTGACAGCAGGACAGCTGTGCAAATGAAGCCTAAAGAGCATTCCAGAGAAGTTAGAGATAAAGTAAAACAAATGCATAAATTATGAAAAGGGTACAAAAACAATATCAAAGTGTTCGGATGTCCCAGTGGGCACTGTTGGTTCAATTATCAGGAAGTGGAAGCTACATCACATCACCCAGACACTGCCTAGAAAACTGCACGAACAAGGAGATTTGTGAGAGAAGCCACAGACAGGCCAACAATCACTTTGTAGGAACTACGGGGTTCAGTAGCTGAGAGCAGAGTAAAGGTGCACCAGTCAACCACACCAAGAGTGCTGCACAACACTGGCCTGTATGGGAGGGTGGCACAAAACAAGCCATTGCTCAAAAAGAACCATGTGAAAGCACGTCTGGAGTTTGCCAGAAAGCATGATAGTGACCCAGTTGCAATGTGGGAAAAGATTTTATGGTCAGATGAGACCAAGATAGAGCTTTTTAGCCAAAATTCAAAGCGATATATTTGGAGCAAATCTAACACTGCCCACATCTAAAAGAACACCGTACTCAGTAAAATGAGAGAATTGATCAAGGGTCTGAGTACTTTTGCAAGGCACTGTAATTGGAGCTAAAATCCGGCAGAATTTTAAACTATGACGGGTCAATAGTAAAAATTTCCAAACCTTGTTTGGATGCCGCCAGCATCGTCCCAATCTATGTAAACATCAAAATCCATCCTCTACCGCTATAAACGGTATAGCCAAATTCATATCGTGACGCGTATTTCTACCGGTATACTGTCTATACCGACTATTCTGCCCACCCCTAGTTAAAATCTTAAGCTTAAGTTCAAAGTTGAACTTTTCTTTCTTCTTCCTTCTGACTTACGAAGGTTAGATTTATCTAATTTTAGGACCTGGTAAGGACCAGATTTTTTATGTCCTGATGTATAAAACCATAGAATTGAAAGAGGGTGTACTTTCCTTTCCACATGACTGTAGATAG